TCGGGCATTGGTCATCCACTTACCCGGCAGTTGTCACAGGTCTCCCTCTATGGCATGGGGGTGATGATACTGAGAGGTTGGCCAAAAGTCAATTTATCCGCGTCCTTCACCAGGACAGCTGTAGCGGCTATGACTCTCAGGCATGCCGGCCATCGGCCGCTACTGGGTCCAGTTTCTTTGATAGATAAGCCACAGGGCATTTCCAGGGTCCCCTGGCTTGGGCTAGCACCCCCTCTGCAACTCCCTTGGGTTCATCTACGAACAGGTAATAGTCTTTGGTGGGATCTGGGAGTGCCAATGCTGGGGCCGAGAGGAGGGCTGTCTTTAATGTCTTAAAAGCCTCTTCCATCTCATCAGTCCGTGTCCAATTTTGACCCTCTCGGCTGCCCTCATATAGGGGTCGGGCTATTTCCACAAACTGGGGAATCCACAGCCAGCAGCAGCCCACTGAGCCTAGGAATTCCCATCCCACCTCAGACTTTGAGGTCTGGGAATCCTTAATACTGTTTGTTTCATTGCTGCATGAGCCATCTCTGGCCTGCTCTTAGTTATATCTCAAGTATGTTACCTCTGGTCGGCAAATCTGAGCTCTTTTCACACTAGCCCGATGGCCCAGTCGTCCAAGGGCCTCAAGCAACTCGAGCGCCCTTCATACATTCCTCTTGGGTCTCACTAGCTATTAACAAATCATCTACATATTGCAACAGAGTCACAGATGGGTGGGTCATCTGATACTCACTCAGGTCTTCGCTCAAGGCCTCGTTAAACAGTGTGGGACTGTTTTTGTATCCCTGTGAGAGCAGAGTCCAGGTGAGCTGTCCATGTTGTCCAGTTTCCTCATCCCACCACTCAAAGGTGAATATCTCTTGCCTTTTGGCAGTGAGGGGTAGACTCAACAAAGCATCGTTTAAGTCTAAAATAGTATACCATAACTACGTTGGGATCAGGCTGCTAAGGAGACTGTGTGGGTTGGGGAAGGTTGGATGAATGTCCTCCATTCTTCTGTTGACCTCCCGGAGGTCCTGCACTGGTCTATAGTCCTTTCCCCTGGCTTGCATACAGGCAACAAGGGCATGTTCCAAGGGGATCTGCACCATCTCAAGATGCCTTCCCGCAATAACCTCTGTATATGAGGTGTTATCCCTTGCCTTGCCTCGGCAGGCATCAGTACTGGTGCACTCTCACAGGCTCCGCTCCTGGCTTCAGTGACTAACCAGTCCTATACCCACTGTCTCTGCCCAAGCATGCAGGTATCTCTCAACCAGATATCAGACCTCTGGGGCCCATCCTTTTGACAATGTTACCGGCTGGTACAGTCTGTATTCATCTTGGGCCATTATGTTGAGGACTTGTATAGGTCATCCACCATCCCCACCCCGTCAGTCACCCTGACTCCATCCTCTGAGAAAATAGATGTGAGCACGTAATTTAGTGAGCAAGTCTCTTCCAATCAGAGGAGTGGGGCATTCCAGAATCACCAGAAATGAGTGTTTTATTTGTTTTTGTCCCAAATCCACAGTTCCTTTTGTAGTCCATTTGTAAGCCTTTGATCCAGTAGCCCCCTGGAAGATACTGATTTTATTGGTCATTTTACCTTTATCTTGGTTTACCACCAAGAATTGTGCTCCTGTATCAACCAAGAAATCAACTGGAGTCCCCTCCAGCTTTAGGGTTACCCTGGATCGGGGAGGGGGTCTGGGTCCCATCTCCCCTATTTGCTGTCTTTCCTCTCCCCTGTGGACAAGGAACCTATTGTTCTTAGGTTTATCTCTTTTTCCCTTTAGTTTAGGGCATTTATTTTCCCAGTGTCCCTTTTCTTTACAGAAGGTGCATTGTTCTCTATTAAGTCTTGGCCGCTGCTTACCCTGCCAAGGACGGTACTGCCTCTCTCTCTCTCCCTCCCCCCTTCCTGATTCTGTAGTCAGGAATATTTTAGCCATTTCTCTCTGATTCTTTCTCATCTCTTTAGCCTGAAGCTTGCAGCTTTCTCTCGCCTCTCTTCCTCCTCTATCCATCGTCTCTCCTTTCTTTCTCTTTCTCCTCTGCCCTGTGTTCCTCTTCCCTCTCTAGGTCCTCCCGATGCAACCTATCCTGTCTCTCCTCGAGAGTCTCTCGAGTGTGATACACCTTCTCTGCCACTTTAAGCAAATCTTGAATCCCCTTTTCTGTCACCCCTTCTAGCTTTGCAACTTGCTTTTAATATCAGGGGCTGACTGGTTCACAAAAGCCAATACCACAGCTGCCCGCGCCTCTCTTCCTGGATCCAAAGCTGTATACTGTCTGAAGGACTCAGACAGCCTTACTGGAAAAACAGAGGGACTCTCTTCTGGCTCCTGGCACAAAGAATGTACCTTAGAGATATTTGCTGGTTTCCTAGCCACTGCCGGAGGCCGGCCATTAGAGTCTGGTGATAAATTCGGAGACACTTGAAGAGTTAAAATTGTATATGTGCGGGTGTAAAAAGTTAAGCTTAAGCTTACAGGTTTAAACCTTCCTGGTGCAGCTGTGAAAATAAAACAGAGTAAAGTAGCACCTTGACAGTAGGGACTCCATTTTGGAGCACTTGAGACTGCATTCTGGGAAAGCAACCCCCCCACCGTGAGACTCTGGTCTGAAACTATGATCTCAAATAGTCGGACAATAGCAGTGCACTACATCACCCTTGGCAACGCACAAAAACCCCCTAGCATGATTGCTCAAGCTTAAAAGTAGAAAGGTTGCACCTGGGTTACCTGGGCTAATAATGAAGATGTGATTTGTCTATGTCTTAAAATCATAATTGCTGATTGTAAAATTTTAGCAACCGCTTAGCAACCGTGTATTCTCTCCCCCCTCCCGATTTTGTGGTTTTTGCCTTTATAAACCCTATGCTGTAGTTCCTCACGGCTCCTCTGTCCTTGGCAGAGGGCCCCAACATGTTGGATCAATAAATTTAACCCTTTGCTGGTTGCATGAGAGAATAAGTCTCTTGGAGTCGTTCCTCGGGCGGTGGGCTTTTTCAGACCCTAACACACTCTCTACCTGCCACCGTGTTCATATCCCAGCCAGGGCGCATCAAAGGGAAACTCTCATCAGTGAGGTTCTGTTTGGTGGTGGGTAGTCTGTCATCATCTGGAACCTGCTTTCTTGCTTCATTGAGAATTTTTCGGGCTGGCGCTGCGGCTCACTAGGCTAATCCTCCGCCTAGCGGCGCCGGCACATCAGGTTCTAATCCCAGTCAGGGCAGCGGATTCTGTCCCGGTTGCTCCTCTTCCAGGCCAGCTCTCTGCTGTGGCCAGGGATTACAGTGGAGGATGGCCCTAGTGCTTGGGCCCTGCACCCCATAGGAGACCAGGAGAAACACCTGGCTCCTGTCATTGGATCAGCGTGGTGCACCGGCCGTGGTGGCCATTACAGGGTGAACCAACGGCAAAGGAAGATCTTTCTCTCTGTCTCTCTCTCTGTCCACTCTGCCTGTCAAAAAAATTTTTTAAAAATAGAATTTTTCCTCTTTCCTCTTTTTGACTAAGGCCAGATGAAAACGTCCCTCTGCAGGCCATCCAACATCATAAGAGGGACATTTAACTCTACAAAAACTTTATTAACTTACTCTTTTTCACTGACACAGACAAGTCTGAAGCCCTGGATCAGAACTCAGAAAAATGGTCAGTTACAAAGGATAGAGGGATACTTACCTGCTGTCCTATTTCTCCAATGATAAGGGTTAGTACAATCACACCACAAACAAGACACGGAGACACAAACAGTGTGGCTGAAAAAAGAAGAGAACTACACCGGGTTCAGGGGAGCGACCCCCTTAGGTTGGCACCAAACAAGTTCACTCTGATAAGCCCAAGGTCGACCAAATCGGCCAGGGACGTCTCCCTGCCACGGGATGGTTCTCCAGCACGTCTGCCTGTTATCCAATCCCTTTTCCAAACTCACCTGCAGGGACAATGCAAATGGAGCTCCTACAATCCTGGCAGTTTCGTGGACACTAGGACAGAACTAAGACAAACACACACACACAGAAAAATCCTCCTGTTCTCCTGTGTTTCCCGAGTTAGCTGGGAGGGTCTCAATCCCGGGCGAGCCCCCAGATGTTGAAATATGGGATACGAGACCTTTCCCAATTAACCCACAAAAGACAGTCACAGATGCAGGGGCAAGAGGATTGATGGTTTTATTGCCAGGAACTGGGGCTCCCACCACACATACAACACAGTGCAGTGCAGGGTGAGAAGCCCCGCCTCTCTCCTTCTCAGCGTTTTCATACGCATGAGTAACAAGTACATCCGTCATCACACATGTATGCTAGTTCCTTATTCTCCATATGGCAATTACCTACATTTGAGCATTTTATTGGTGCATCACAGCAGTCTGGGGACTACGCGTCACACAAGGAAGTGGTCACACAAGAAGTGGGAGACCATTAATTTCAGGAAGTATTTACTAAGTTTTGTTTTCTAAGAATTGGGGCTTCCCGTCTTCCTGGAGTGTGTGAAGCCTGGCATGCAGGTACTATTATCCCCCCCCCACACACACCTTTTCTTACGCTGGGCATCCCGCATTAAGTCATTGAGCAAGCAGAGCAGTACAGAAGCAAAAAGCAATTGATAGTTAGCATCAGTTCTAGATTTTTTTCACTTCAACAGCTCCTGACAACTTCATAACGGGGTCCCTGGGCCTCCCACCACATGGGGACACTCCCGCAGGGCACCCCACTGAGGACCATCAGGGGTCCAGCTGCCTGTCCCCTTGTGCCCCTAGAGTGGGCCCTGGAACTCCCAGAAAGCGGCACCTGAGACTCCCAAAGCAGTGTGGATCTGGGAGCCGGGAGCAAGAGCTGAGCTGTGGGCGGCCCGAGGTGGATGCACAGAGGTGACCACGACCAGAAGAGCAGGACGACAGCCATGCCAGGTCACCCCCCGGCTTTTATTAATGGCGTGTATGCCCAGGTAAGTGGATCCCCAAGAAGCTATCAGGACCCAATCACACAGAAATGCAAAAGCAAGGTTTATTTGGAAGTACAAGCGCGGCAGGGACCTCGTCTGACCAGCCACGCAGTGGAAGTCAGAGGAAGGCCCAGCCTTTGTTTGGGAGCGCTTTTAAAGGAAAAACCAAGGGTTACATCAGCGGGGGCTTACAGCACGGGGCATTGGTGACTGGACGGGGCTGCTCTGGGTTGCTCTCAGTTGAACGGGCGGGGGTCAGGTGGGGGGGGGTCTGCATTTGGCCTGGGGTCAGGGAGTTACTCATTTCGTAACCTCTATGAGCTGCCCTTGTCTGGTGAGCTGTCCCTGGTCAGCTTTGTTGTCTCTGGAATGCCTGGATGCCTGCTTTTACAAGGACTCGGGTCTGCTGGGGGAAACAGAGGCTGCTTTTTCTTTTCTTTTCTTTTTTTTTTAAATGGAGTCACTTTGGCTCTTCAGGCGGAGAACCCGTTCCCTCGAGGCCGCACCCGTGCACGCAGCGCCCCTGGTCTGCACCGCGCAGGCTCTTTCATTCACCAGGGCCAGGCCCGCAGGACACAGGCAGATGCAGGCAAGACCCTAGTAGGTGTAGCTTCACAGAGGCTTTGGAGGGGTGGGGGCAGGGATGGGGCGCAGCTGGGGGCGGGGACGGGGTGGACACGGAGTGGCAGGGGCAGGGGCAGGAGGGCGGGGCTGGGGGCGGGGCTAGGGAGGGCGGGGCCAGGGCAGCACAGGCTCTGAGCAGCCACAGCTGCCCCAGCCCCAGGCCTGCGGTAATGGCTCAGGGGGCACCTGCCAGGGCCGCGCCCGAGTTCAGGTTCTTGGTGATCGGGTCGGGGTCACTGCAGATGAGCTGCCGGAAGACGATGTTCCCTATCCTGATGTTCGGTGTCGACAGGAACCCGCAGAGGTCGTCGGGGATGTTGGAGCAGCCTCTGACACGCAGCGTGAACCGCACCAAGTCTCCAGTCCCTAGAGGTGGGGTCACCTGAGCTCCACGGCCCAGCAGGAGGCACCAGCACCCAGCCAATTACATGGCCAGGGCCGCGGGGCTCAGAACTCGCCTGCCCCTCCATGTCAGCCATCCGGGCTGTGACCCACAGGGGCGGCCGACCCAAGGTAGACAGACAGGCACTCCTGCCTCACCTGGGAGGACCGGGCCTGGGTCCTCCTCATCCAGGCCGGGCCCAGAACCCACTCCTCTCTGGAGCAGAGTGCTACCTGCCTCAGTTTCCCCTGAACATAAGCAAAAGCAGCCAGAAGGGACTCGGTAACCACGTGCAGACAGAGCAAGAACACGGGCCGGGGAGCAGGGAGCAGGGCGCCAGCCCTGGGGGGAGAGCACCAGAACCAGAGCACCAAGGGCGGCTCCTGCCCTTGGCTACCAGGCAGGGCACCGGGGGCTGGGCAAGTGTGTTAGGAAGACACGGGACCACTGATGTTGATTAGCAAGTAAAGCCACTGACTGCAGTGCCAGCATCCCATGTGGGTGCCAGCTCAAGACCTGGCTGCTCCACTTCCTGTCCAGCTCTCTGCTATGGCTGGGAAAGCAGTAGAAGATGGGCCAAGTCCTTGGGCCCCTGCATCCACAGGGGAGACAAAAAGAAGCTCCTGGCTCCTGGCTTCAGATCAGCTCAGCTCCAGCCGGGCCGGCCAATTGGGGAGCAAACCAGTGGGTGGAAGACATCTCTCTCTCTCTGCCTCTCTTCTCTCTGTGTAACTCTGACTTTCAAATAAATAAATAAGTCTTTCTATATTTTAAAAAGAAGAAGTGTACCTGTGCACTTCTCTGCTGTGTTTTTTAAAAAGTGACCCTGGGCAAAAACAATTTAAAAAAGTTCACATCTGTGATGGCATTGACCCAAGCCAAGCTGTGCGAGGGAAAACCTCCCAGGTCCCTGCAGCAGATGACACAGGACAGGACGTGCCATATCCCTGCACTGCCCATCTCCCAGCCCCAGAGTTAAAATCTGCAGCAGTGTAGACATCCCAGGGAGGTTAAAGCACAAAGAGCTATGCCCACTGGGATTCCCAGTGTTCTGGGAAATATGTGAGGAGCTGGGGATGGGGGCCGCTCTGCGTGACACCTGGGGCAGCTGTGGTTCCTCGTCCACTGTCCAGACCCCAGAGTCCAGCTGGAGAGAGGCCCCGTGCACACTGAGGACCTGGTGACGCTGAGGCCAGCCAGGCAGACCACTGAGAAATCCAGAACTGCAATTAACATCCATGCTGATGCCCACATGGCCCTGGGGAAGCCTGCTCCCCCTGCTGGTGAGGAGCAGACCTGCAAGGCTCTGAGCTCTGCAGGACCTGCCCCTGCCAGGGACCGATCCATGAGGGTCCAGGCCTGCAGCTGTGGGACCTGGTCTGCTGTGTAGCCCCAGGAGAACCCATTGCTTTCATCAGAAAGGACAATTTTTGGATTTGGAAGCCAAATTTGACACTTTCCACCAGGGGACCCCGCCCGCTAAGTTAGCACTGCGCCAAGTGTGACAGGTAGAAGAGTGCAGGTGTGCAGAGGCCACCCCACCCCACCTGTGGAATGAAGCAGCCTGGTGACTGACAGCCAGCACAGGTGGAGGCCCTGGGCCAGCAGCAGGGGAAGCAGCCCTGCCCTGAGAAGGCAGCCCTGAGACAGCACTGGAGCCTCTCTCCCGCTCACAGGCATCCTGGCCCCGTCCCCGTGTCAGGCCGCCTCCCCCACCTCTCTGTGAACCTGCATCTCAGGACCCCTGGAGGAACTGATCCCCAAGACATACCTAGCATGACATCTGCAAGCCCATCGATGCACCGTTCATCTGGGTTACACCTCACGAATCTCTCCCCACAGGGGGTATCGTTAACCACCATGCAAGCAGGGCACTGTGCGTCACCGGTCCCTACAGGTGGATAGTCTGGGAGGGAAGAGGCCTTGTCACGACCATGCTGTCAGACAGGACGGAGAGACTGCATCCTGGCCTCCACACCACCCTGGCCACCACTGAAGACTCAGACCCCCCAGGTCGGCCCCGACAGCCCACCCAGTCTCTGAGTCTGTGGGGTATAGGCTGAAAAGAGGACGGTCGGCCCAGCCTGTCCTGACTGTTGGTGTCCTGGTGTGTGACAGTTGCTAAATCTGCTGTTCAAGCAGGAGAAGATAAATAAACCTCATTTTTAACACAGGCTACGGACTGCCAGCACTGTAGACTAGCACGTAGGGCTGCTGCCTGCAGTGCCAGCATCTCATATGAGTCCCGGCTGCTCCTCTTCTGATCCAGCTCTCTGCTATGGCTGGGAAGGCAGTGGAGGATGACCCAGGTGCTTGGGCCCCTGCACCCACGTGGGAGACCTGGAAGAAGCCTCTAGCTCCTGGCTTCAGATCAGCCCAGCTCCAGCCATTGCAGCGATTTGAGGAGTGAACCAGCGGTTGGAGATCTATCCCTTGCCCACCTCGCCCCAACCATGCTCTCTGTAACTTTTTCAAAAACATAATTAAAAATCTTTTCCAAAAAAAAAAAAACGGGGCTTTGTTCACGAGCAGCGGTTCTCACACGGGGGTTCAGGAACCCCGAGCCCTGGGCTCTTCTGGGGGGCTGAGTTAACCACTTCTGGCCAGCACCACACTGCCTGTGCCTCATTCTCTCCCACACAAACACAGGGTGGGGTTGTCCACACGGGAATGCACACACGTGTGAGCCTCCAGCCATCTCGTATGTGACAACGCCACACTCCTCACTGCTGTGTTTATCTGTCAAGTACATGCTGATGGGTAAGGTGCTGCTTGCTATTTTGGGTGAACTAATGCAGGTTTATAAACTTCCTTAGCTGGAACTTCCCAGACAGTAAATACTGACAGGGGGAGTGCACGTAAACCAGAGTTCTCTGGACTCCTCAGTAATGTGGGAGACCTGAGTCCTACAGGGCCCTGGGATCCCGAAGTCTGAGAACTGCTGGGGAGCGCCAGGTGCTGCTCCCAGGGGAGGCGTGGGCACAGCAGGGAGACCCCTCTGGGGGCGCCTGATCCCTAACGCAGCGCCTGGACCCCCCTAAGTCCTGCTGCACCCTGACTCCAGTTCCTGCTGAGGAGCAGTGTGGAACAGCCAGTGACCACTCAAGGACTAGAATTCCTCCTGCACCACCACGGGGAGACCTAGATGCTCCCAGTCCTGCCTGGCCTGGCCCCGCCTCCGCTGTTGGGGAATGTGGGCATGAACAGGCAAATGGAAGACTTCTCTCTGGTTCTGTGTTGCCTGAGATAAAATGAAAATACATGAATACTAAATACATCCCCCCCACAGCCTCCCTGTCTGTCCCTGCTGGCAGTGCTGTCTGCCCTGCAGTTCTCACGCCCCTCTGTCAATCAGGTGTGAGTGTCATTCAGATGTGACAGGAGGGCCTGGCCTGCAGGTGGCCCCCAAGGGCAGGGAGCACAGGTGGCCCAGCAAGGGGACCATGGGGCTGGCACCCACCTGGGGTTGGAGGGGGGATGGTGCTATTGCAGGGTCCTCCATTCCAGCACTGGCTTGACAACCAGGCTGTTTCTTCATCAGCTATCCGGATATAAACCTCCACAGGCGTAGGCAACAGTGAGCAGTCGATTGTGGAGCAGGCCATGTCATAGAAACTTGTGGGTGGTAAGACTACACAAAAACAAACACAGACTGTTAGTCCCTGGGGAGGAGAGGCCGTGGGGACCTGGGACCCTGAAGAGCAGCGGCTTCTGGCCAGCGCACACACGCTCCCCTCAGCGCAGTGCAGGTTTGGACGCAGCGGCGAGGGTTCCTGGGAAGAGAAAGCTGCTGCTCCATCAGCCACACCTGTGCAGCAGGGGAGCAGCAGAAATGCAGGCAGACCCAGGAGAGGGCGGGGCCTACAAGTGGGCAGTCCAAGTGACCATCTGGAGACCACCCTCCAGTCCTAAATGAGAATAACTTGGGAAAGCACTTTGGAGTAGCTTGTAAAGCTGCCACCTGCAGTGTTGGCATCGCACATGGGTGCTGGTTGTGGTCCCATCTGCTCCAACTCCAATTGAGCTCTCTGTTATATGTGCCTGGGAAAGCAGTAAAAGGTGGCTAAGTCCTAGGGCCCCTGCACCCACATAGGAGACCCGGAAGAAGCTCATGGCTCCTAGCTTTGGATTAGGACAGCTACCGTTGTTGTGGCCAATTCTAGAGTGAACCAGTGGATGAAGCTCACTCTCTCTCTCTCTCTCTTTCTCATTCTCTCTCTGTTTCTCCTTCTCTCTGTGTGTGTAATTCTCACTTTCAAAAAAAAAATTTCTTAAAAATGAGAACAATCAAGTAGATCCGCTGCACCTAGTCTGCAAACCCATGTGCTTCTGCCTGAAAACTGGACCCAGACCCAGCCAAACTCCTACACCAGAGCTATCCAATTTGGTGCCCACTAGCCACAAGTGCCCACTTAACGTAAATCTAGGGGCCAGCAATTTGGCACAGCTGGTTAAGCCGCTGCTTGCAATGCTTGCATCCCATGTAGGAACCAGTTCATGTCCTGGCTGCTCCACTTCCAATCCAGCTCCCTGCTAACTCACATGGGAGAGCAGCTTGGGCCCTTGCACCCACGGGGGAGACCCAAGTGCAGCTCCTGGCTCCTGGCTTTGGCCTGGCCCAGCCCCAGCAGTTTCAGACATTTGGGGAGTGAACCAGTAGATGGATGGAATGTCTCTCTCTCTCTGTCTCTCACTCCCTCTCTGTAATTCTGCCTTTCAAATAAATAAGTCCTTTTTTTTAAAAAAAAAAAGGTGAATTTAGATGAATCAAACTAAAATTTAAAATTAAGTTCCTCGGTCATAGTAGCCGCATTGCAGCAACACTCAGGAGCCGCACGTGGACACTGTACAGGACGGCGCTGATGTAGATGTTTCCATGGTTACAGACAGTACCGCTGACGGCCCTGGGCCAGTGGGTAGAAACACCAAGAACAGGAGAACAACTGAATGACAGCACAGGATGCAACCAGCCAGAGTCGGAGCAGGGCGGCTGTGGACGGATGCACCCATTTCTGCCACACATCCTGGGACGGAACCAAGAATGGAACAGGAGCTGTTATAAAAATCAATCCCAACAGCAAACGGCAATGCGGAGACCTAGCCTGCATATTAATCACAGCATCACTGTGTCTATCAAACAACCCAGAGAGTCTCAAGATGGCCCAAGTATTAGAAGAAATGACAGAGTTACAGTTAATGTCTTAGTTACAATAACGGAACGCTAGTTATGTCTTTTTAGAAGCTCTTATCAGAGATGACAGTGAAGTTTCTATAGCAAAAATGACCACACACACACACACACACACACACACAGGAGGGCACTTCACAAAGCTCATGGAGAAATGGAATTAAAGATTAGTTTTCTTCAGTGCAGAAAAATTTTAAATCCATGCAACAAGGGGTCTTCTAAAGTTTATGAAAATTGTGCATTCTGACAAAAATTATGCATGGATTTCAGACACACGTACATGTTCACTTTAACACATTACAGTAAAGTAACAGTGTCGGTCATTGCTGACAAGGACAAGGGGCACGCACGGTCCCCGCGCTCTTCTGCCCGCTGTTGTCTGGTGTGGAAATGTCCGAGGTGAGAAGTGTGGAGGAACTCACCAGGCAGGAGCTGCCCCGCGGTGAGGCAGTGGAACAGGGCGATGCAGGCCCGGGCAGAGCGGCCGCCTGAGCCGCCTTTGCTTCCACAGCCCCGAGAAGGCTCCGGAATGAGCCCTGACTGACCCGTCTCCCCTTGGCCAGGAGCTGCTCCACGACCCCCTGCCCTGGCACAGCCCGGCCTCATCTCAGGCCTCCCTCCCAGCCTGGCCGCCCTCTCCAGCCCTGCCGGGGGCCAGTCCCAGGGTGGGGGGGCACACAGCCCAGGCTGACCTGAAGGCCAGTTGGCATAGGAAAAGATGCAGCTAGTATAGGTGTCATCAGGACATGGAGAGACATCATTGCCGTCACAGGGGGTAAATGAAGAGCACTGTGGACAGTCCACGGACCCTGTGGAGACAGAACCCACATGGCTCCAATCTGGAGACACAGAGCAGAGACCACGCCCACCTCAGGGTGAAGGAGGATCATGTCCCCACCTTCTAGGGACCCCCAAGACTGACAAGACAATGAGCTCCCATCTGTTCACCATCCCACAGGCGGGGCCGCTCCAAACGCAGGGAGCACGGGGAGCCTGCACACCCCACAGGCCACTGCCTGAGAGGGCCGGGCACCCAGGAAGCTCCTGGTGATGCCCACCCCTCCTGTCACCCACCCGACACCCACCACCCCCTCCTGTCACCCACCCAACACACCCACCCCCTCCTGTCACCCCCCCACCCCCTCCACACCCTCCTGTCACCCCCCTCCCTTCACCCCCCCTCCTGTCATCCCCCCAATTGCCCCCTCCTGTCATCCCCCTCCTGTCATCCCCCCTCCTGTCACCTTCCTCCTGTCACCCCCCCTCCTTTCTCCCCCCTCCTGTCTCCCCCCTCCTGTCACCTTCCTCCTGTCACCCCCCCTCCTGTCACCCACCCCCTCCTGTCACCCCCCCTCCTGTCATCCCCCAGTACGGCCCCCACAGCTGCTCTCACCTCCGGGGGCCACAGCGAGCGCTGCGAGGAGACCGAGGACCAGGATGCCCTTCATGGTGCTGGAGCTGAGCCTCCTGAGGGCGGGGCCACGAGCCTGGAGCCTGGAGGGACAGGGGAGGCAGCCGGGGCTGGCGGGGGCTGTCGCCCTCAGGGGTGCAGACAGGAGCACAGAGCCCGACACCCATCCACCCTGCTCTCACGTGCGCCGGGAGCTCCCGGCCTCCACAGCTGCTGAGGTATCGTGCCCATGTGAGACCCAGCCTGGGCACGTCCCGTGGAGCCACTCGGATGCGAAGTGGGCAGGCGACTGACTCCCTGGCCCTGTCCTCAGGGTCTGTCTTCAGCTGGGATCTCCCCACTGCACTCACTTGGCACTCAGCAGCTCTGTCCCCACCACCACAGGCACCCACCTCCTGAGCACTGACTGCTTCCAACACGAGACACCCACCCCCTGACACCCACCTGTCCACCCCCTCCTGTCACCCACCCGACGCCCACCACCTCCTGACACCCACCCGACACCCACCACCTCCTTCATCCACCTGACACCCACCCCCTCCTGTCACCCACCCGATGCCCACCCCCTCCTGTCACCCACCCGACGCCCACCACCTGCTGTCACCCACCCAACACCCCTACCTCCTGTCACCCACCCTGCATGTGATACCTTATGTAATTCACCCACAGGAGCAGGCAGGGACTTATGCTCATCAGGGCAGAAATCAAACCCGAGGAGCATCACTAAGACACTCCAAGATCTGGCCCAGGTCCCTCACTGGGACCCCACACCGTCTCCAGTAGAGGGCAGCTGCCAGATCCAGGCCAGGTCACAGGTGGCTGCACAGCTGGGTCGGAGGTCCCTCAAGCGGCCTGGGCGTCAGAGCAGCGGGGAGAGCAGGCGGCCGGCCCTGCAGTGCTCTGCCTCGTTACTCATTTACTCCATAAACTGTGGCCACAGCAACACAGAGATATTTAAGGTCAAGTTCATTGACATTACATGGGAAGCTCTGTTTCCCACTGCACAGGTCACATTCCCAGGGCTCAGGAGCCACTGTGTGGGGTGGGCAGGGGCACCCAGCACCCCCACCCCTGCAGAAAGCCCCCTGGCTGCTGCCGTCCTTGGGCTGCTCGTCCCGCTCCGCAGGTGAGGAAGCCGCAGTGTGGAGGGAGAGCCACTGCCACACACCCAGCTGTGCTGCTCCCACATCCCGGGTCCAGGGTGAGCAGGACAGCTGTGCCCCTCTGGAGAGGAGCCCACCTTCCCTGGGGAGCTGCAGGCCCCTCCCACCTCACCATGCACATAACACCACACACACATGCCCCACCACACACTCACATCATACCACACATGCACAGACCACATACATCACATGCACATCTACATATGCATGACACACATGCATGACACACACGTCACACACAACACAAAACACACCAATCACATCCCACAGCACTCACCACACATTCACACCATAGCACACACATGATCCACCATACATTCACATCATACTACATATCACACACCACATACACCAATGCAATCTACATATGCATGACACACATGCATGACACATGCATGTCACACACAAAACAAAACACACCAATCACATCCCACAATACCCACCACACATGCACACCATATAACACACACACATGTGTATGCTATACATACAGGCCACAGTTGCACATCACACAACATGCTACACCACACAATCACATCAAACCACACATCCATACCGTACCACATAGACCATGTGCATCTGCTACATATGTAATGCCACACATGGATGCCACACATATGTCACAAACAACACACAACATAATCACATCACATGCACACATATCCCACTAATGTGCATAGTAGTTGTATAATCCACACGTGCACATCACACAACATGCCACAAATGCCATACCACACATTAACATCAGGCCACACATGCACATCACACCACATACACCATGTGCACAACAACATATTCATGCCACACATGCATGACACATGTAACATACAACACACCAATTACATTAAACAACACCCACCGCAAATGCACACCACATCACACTCATCGCATGCACATGCACATGCAGGAAATATATGCACATTACACAACATACCACATGAGCCACACCACACAGATCACAACACACATCACACACATGCCACACATCCACATGCCACACCACACCACAAACACAACACATATGCTGAACCACATACAACTCACACATCATGCTATGCACACATCAAAAAACACACATATGTACATACTGCAGCAAACACCCAAGAAATACCACAATCACAACACACATATAACACACTGCAAGCCACATCCACACATGCTACATCCATCCACACACACACCACACACCACACACATGTGCCCTACACATTATACACAGCCACACACCTGCTGCTCATACTGCACCGTGACCCTGACTCACTGAGGGTTAGGGCAGAGGACGAGGCCCAGCCCATCAGCAGGAGGTCCCGTTTGTCCCCACAGGAAACCCTGCCTCGTGGGGATCCTGGAGAGGGCACAGCACGCGTGGTCAGTCTGTGGCCAGGCCACACCCTGGCCCTCTGAGCTGGCCCCACTCCAGGCCTCTGTAGCCTCGTCTGAGTGCAGGAGACCTGAGCACGCTGAGTGGGCTCCCAGCCTACAGAGGGCACAGGGCGTGTCCCCCAGGTGCGCACCTGCTGATCAGCCTCATCCTCAGAGGCCCGGGGGCCACACCCAGCCCAGGGCACACGGCCAACACGCAGACAGAGGTGACCGTGTGGTGGGACCCAGGGCCCTGACAGCCGCCCCATGGGCGAGCAGTGCGTGACGCTACAGTTCACGTCAGAGCCCTGTGTAGTGAGCAGAGCGCCTTCCCACCACCAACTGCATCACCGAGCTCTCCCACAACCCGGCAGGGCCCTACCATGACGCAGGCTGGCGTCTCCCACACAGGAGAGTGCAGCTCAGGGGCTGTGAGGATGCAGCACCCACAGAGCCACCCACACACACATATACACACATACACAGAAGCAGCACACACAGGTGGCACACATGGCACACACAACCAACACACATGGGCAGCACACAACACAGGTGGCACACGGAGTACAGTTAAAAATCAGACAAAGCACGTCCCAGCCCACACCCTCCCGCCCCTCCAGCTCCCACTCTCCTGAGCTGCTAACAGCAGAGCACAGGCCAGAACACAAGCCATGAGAATGACCAGTCTGGGCACAGCCGGACAGGACCTGAGCCGGCCCTGGGTGCCCATCCTGGGTCTCAGCTTCCCCCAGGCTCAGCCCCAGCCCTGCAGACCCCACCTGCTGATCTGGTCAGAGACACTCCCAGGCCAGGTGAGTCTGTGGAGGTACAGGGGTGTGAGGACCTTATATAGCCAGTGGCCACAGTCAGGAAGGGCGCTGCCTTCTGGGGAGGGGCCTCTCCCATCCAGACTGTGCCCTGCCCAACAGCAGGGACATGGGCAGCTTAACCCTTTGCCAGCTGTGTCCTGTGCCCTTGGAGACCTGAGAGCAGAGGGATTCCAGCAACACTCGTCAAAGCCGGATATGACCAACGGGCCAGGGAGGAGGTGTGAGGCTGGCAGCACCCACTGTGTGCTGTGGCCCAGGAAGCGGTCCCACAGCCAGTTCAGGCCTCCCAGAGCAACCCCAGGTACAGGACAGAAACGTGGGAGGGTCCTGGTGGCACCCACAGGGGCAGGCTGGAACTCAGAATCCAGCTCCAGAGCGGGTCAGGTCCCCTGGGGCAGGAGTCCTCGCCTCTCTGTTCCAGGGTCCCCGCCCCCCCCCCAGGGGTCGCACAAGCCCACTGTGGAGCTGACAGCCCCAGGAGGCGGGACTGAAGGACAGGCTGACAGGGTCATCACTGGGCTCAACACAAACGCGCCCCAGACCAGCAGGGAGTCCGGCTCTGCTCCTGTCAGTGCCTGGTCCACCCCGTCCCGTGCTCTCTGGGCCCGAGCTCCTGCTCTGTGCACACAACACCAGGCGCTACAGAGAGCTGCTGAGAGTTTCTCTCTCCTGGATTCCCGTCCTGTTCCACCAGGGCTTCCCACGGTGACCTTTCAATAGCGGCACGTGGAGCTGCTCCCAGGTGGGGCCCCGGGGACCACTGGTCACCAGGGACACTGAGGACTCTGGAAGCCTGGACCCCCTCCCCAGAGGGCCTGGGAACAGTGCAGATGACGATGGCGGCCCCCCGACCCAGAACACAGGCCAGGGAGGCCCCGTGGTCACCCTTCCCCCACAGAGCCTCGGGCACCTGGCCCCAGTCCCACAGCCTGCTGACCTGGCAGCAGCTTGGCCACAGCAAGCCGGCACTCAGTGGGTCAGAGTCTGCCTGGGGGTGAGCCTGGAGCCACGGTGGGGAGTGGGCTTGTCCAGCAGAGTCCAGACATGGTGGTCAGGGGAGTCTACCCCATTTCAGAGATACACGGAGAGGGTGCAGGGTGGGGTGCACAGAGGAGGAACCCCGCCTGCAGCAGGGGTCCAGGCCCAGGACACAGCAGAAGGTCCCATGGCCGACATGCAGCCTGCCCACATGCTGCTGGGTTTCCTCCAGAAACTTCCATTCAGGGGCTCATTCCTCCAGCTCAGCAACATACGATCTGGATACAGTGCAGTTACGGTGCCTGAGACTCTGAGTGCCCAGCTATAAAAGGTGCTTGCCTATCCTTGGCTCAGTGCACCATGTACAAGGTGTTGGCCTGTCCCAGACTCAGTGCAAAGCTGTACAAGGTGAATGCCTGTTCCTGGCTCAGTGCCCAGCTGTACAAGGTGTGGGACCATCCCTGGCTCAAGTGCACCTGTCCCTGGCTCAGTGTATGGCTGTCTCAGGCTCAGAGCCTGGCAGTACAAGTTGTGTGCCTGTCCCGGCTGGGTGCCCGGCTGTACAAGGCATGAGCCTGGTCCTGGCTTAGTGCCTGCCTGTACAAAGTGAGTGCCTATCCCTGATCAGTGCCCTGCAGTACAAGGTGTGCGCCTGTCCTGGACTCCCCATGCTTCACACAAGATGAGCACCACCACCCACCTCTGAAGCGCTGTTCTGACTGGGAAGGCACACGGCCTGCAGCCATCAGTCACTCGGGGCTCCACGAACACGGCTTCCCCCTCCACAGCCCCCACTCCTGAGCCCTGGGCTCCTGCACAGACGCACAGGGCCTGGTGGAGGGACAGGACCGAGGGGATTAAAGCCAGGGACACGCAATGAGGGCTGCACCGGGAACCTGTGGGTCTCCCCACTCACTGTCCAGAGAGAGAAACGAGGCCAGCACCCAGCCCTCCTGCCGGCCCTGGCCTTGCTCTGGGACACGACCTCACCTCGGGCAGGTGCACGTGTCTGCACTCAGTGTACTGACCCAAGAGCAAGTGACGGCTTCCACAGCCAATCCACTGCACAGATTCAGAGTGCTGGGGCTGCTTGGACACTTGAAGAAGTTGAATTAAAACATCCACTCAAGGTCTTGCAACTGCTCCATTCCTTCAAGCAAGACATTTTAGTACCAAAAAAAAAAAAATCCAACAAAGATTAAGAAGAAAGGATACGATGTTCTTTGCACAGAACCAAGGAAATTCTGCTGTGAGGGTCGTTGGCCCAGTCTTGGTCACAGTCCATCAGCTGGGCTTCTTTGGTGGCAGCCACAGGTGTGGCGACCACGCGAGTTCATCTCAGAAGATGTTTGACACAGCAATTTCCCCAAATTCTCCCGGCTGCAAGCACACAGCAGGGTTGGAGAACGGCTGCACCCCTCACTGTCTGTGCGACCTGCTGCTGCGGAGCTGACCCGGGCTGCGGAGGGCGGCAGGGCAGCAGATGTGCCAGCCTCACTCCCAACTCTGCCAGAACAAATGGACAGCAGCGCTCAGGAAATGAGGTCATGGCGGAGGCGATGCCATCCACACTGTGAGACACAGTCACAGCTGGAGGAGGGGACTCCGCACAGCGGGAAGCCCCTGACTGAACTGAGCCTTCTCTCTGCTGTTTTTATTAGGGTTAACAATGATGTAGACATTGGGTTTGGTGTAGGAATCATGGACATCCATGTACATGAAATTCTTGTTCTTCGTAAAAAAGATCAGTTACAGGAGGTGACTGGAGAAATAAGAGGGAATCTCCTAAACTTTGTCCAGGGCACAATGCCATAGGACCATGAGTGATGAGGAGTGGCTCCCACAGCCCCCCAGCTCACCCCAGAGTGTGTGATGAGAATGGTAGGTGCGTAGTTAATATCACAGCAAGTGGATGGGTGGACAGGCACTGCCGTTCTGACAAAGGTTAGGACATCACACCCCTGCTTGGAAACGTAGAACACAGGGACAGGAACTCTTACATCAGGCATGGAATAGGTCCTGTAACATGGCTGTGGGAGAGTGATTTACCTGGGAAACATAGGACATGATCATTGGAACTTTCTCTATACAGTTATCACCTTGTAAAATAAATCGATTATCTTTAGACCTTGGACTTTTTATCTAGCACCTCCAAATCATGCGGCCTCCATTGCGCTCAGGGATGAGATTACAAAGGGAAAAACCACATCTGCTGGGAGTTCATTACAAAGCCAAGTTAATTCCAGAAGCCTGAACAAGCCAGGTTAATCACCCTTATCTCAGGGGAATATGGGAATAGAACACACCATCCCAGCACTTCATGTGAACACCGAGTGATAAATTTATGATACCATTCCTAGAGGCCAGTGTTTGAGCAGAGAGCAGTTGTGCCAATGGGTAGAAACACAGAGGACACTCAGGGACAAACAATGACTAAAGGTCGTTCAGACACAAAATGCAGTGACCCTGCTCAGGCCAGAGCTCACGGCACCTCAGGCCACTCTGGCCACTTCCACTCGAGGGTGCCCTGGGCTGGAAGTCCTGGCTGCAGCAATGAGAGGGAGACAGAGAATTCAGGCATCCAGCTTGCAAGGGAGGAGCAACAGATCTGTACACAGAGGGCGTGACCTGACGTAGAGGAAACTTCACTAACCACTCAGGGCTCAGCAAAACTGCAGGGTTCAGGATCAACACAGGAAACTGTCGTTTACAAAACACTAATGACAGTCTGACAGCAAAAGTGATCTAGTTTACAATAAAATGATCTAGTTTACAATTATATCAGGAATAATAACACCCTGACGATGAACACTCTGATTAGAAATTGAGAATCAACTCCATTATGGCATCTAAAGGCACAGACTCTGGGCGATACACTTAACCAATGAGGGAAAACATTGCACTCTGAAAACAACAGTGCTGATGTGATTAGAGAGGACACAAAGGGAAAGACACCCAGGCTCATGAATTAGAAGACAATATTGTTAAGAGCAACACCACCCAGTATGACCCACAGAAATGATACAATTGGTACCAAATTAAAAGTTGCATCTTTCACACAGATAGACCTTCCTAAGATTCATGGGAAATCTCAAGGGACCTCGAAGAACAAAACAATATTGAAAAAGAAGAACAGGGGCCAGTGTTCGGGTGAAGCCATGGAAAGCTGCCTCCTACATGCTGGAGCCTCGTATCCCAGTGCCAGTTCAGGTCCTGGCTGCTCCACTTCCCAGCCAGCTTCCTGCTGATGCACCTGGGAGAAGCAGCAGAGATCAGGTGACAAACTCACATTAGAAGGGACTTCAGGGGCTGGAGCTGTGGCCCAGCGGGTTGAAGCCTTGGCTTACAGTGCTGGCATCCCATATGGGCACTGGTTCATGTCCTGGTTGCTCAAGGACTTCTGATCCAGCTCTCTTCCATGGCCTGGGAAAGCAGTAGAAGATGGCCCAAGTCTTTGGGCCCCTGCACCGGTGCAGGAGACCTGGAAGAATCTCCTGGCTCCTGGCTTCAGATTGGTGCAGCTCCAGCTGTTTCAGCCATTTAGGGTGTGAGCCAGCAGATGGAAGATCTCTCTCTCTCTCTCTCTCTACCTCCTCTTCTCTCTCTGTGCAACTCTGACATTCAAATCAATCAATAAATCAATCTTTAAAAATATTATTTATTGATTGATTTGAAAGGCTGAATGACACAGAGGCAGAGGCAGAGAGAGACAAGAGATCTTCCATCTACTGGTTTACTCCTCAGATGGCCACAAGGAGCGGAGCTGAGATGATCTGATACCAAGAACCAGGAGCTTCTTTCAGGTCTCCCACGAGGGTACAGGGGCCCAAGCACTTGGGCCAGCTTCTGGTGTTTTCCCTGAGCACATTAACAGGGCACTGGATCATCAGAGGAGCAGCTGGGACGCTAGCCGGCACTCATATGGGGTCTCGGAATTCCAGGGATATGTGTTTGTTGTGTCCATATTTCCCAATCATTGCACAAGGCACAGTTGTGGATGCAAAAGCAGAGGTTTATTT